TAGGAATCTATAATAACACATTCAACATGCATTGTTTAAGTATATAGCCTATACATCTTTAAATAATGCAAGTGCTCTTTTGATTTTAAATCTATAATAAAACAAGATATCTCGCTGACAAAGTTTTTTTTTAATTGGACAGAAATTTTACCCAGGGAAATCTAGGGAGGTCATCACTGATTGTCCGATAAACGAAATATTCAAAGGTACACTTGAGAGTACTGCCTCTAAAATTTTATTATGCACATTCATTTTTTGCAATTTACGAGAGTGTCTACAATTTTTATTTAACAGTAGGTATACACAAACCTCTGACGGAATATTTCTAGATAACGACTACCATTAGTGTCCAATAGGGGCCATAAACTCGTATTTCGTTTGAAACACAATTCAGGCTGGCTATAAAACGCAATTTAAACCCTTGTTCAGAACTATGATCAAATATCAGTTTAATTTTCAATTTCATGATTCTAAATAATTCGATCCAAAGCTGAAATTTCAATTTTTGGACCGTCGGGAAAAATTAGAGGCACGATGGCTTTAGATAAAATGAAATCGTGTGATTTACGCTGTCGCGTGGTAATGTCAATACAGCGTTTACGCAACTTCAAACCTCTCTGCTCGTCGTTCGCATAATGCGTTGTTTCGTGTTGTCCTCCGCGATAATATACACTTGGAAAAGCTAGAACACGCTACACTACGCTCCGCAGAAAATCTCGGTGCACTATTTAATGAGCTATTCAATAATACATGAATTAATAAATTACAAGAATATAAATATAAATCGATTATAATTAATATTGTATTATATTACAAAAATTATTTCAACGAATAAGAGGAAATGGTTTCATAAATTAAACAACTATTCGTTTCATCTAACAATTTCTTTTTTATCTGTCATAAAAATGTCAATTAACGAACCATCAATGATACTAATACATATATTGACAGAAAGAACAGTATAGTCGAGACGCAAGAGGAAAAAGTCAGGAATAAGTCCGCAAGAAGAAGAGACACGTATGAAGATATAATAACATAATTATACGTTGCACACAATTGCGCGTTTATTCACAGATTCACGCGAGCACCTGGTGACGTGAACAGATCACACGGTGTCGTACATGTCAATACATGTAAACGTGCTGTTCCGTACACACGCATGCGGAACCCACTCGGTATGTCCATTCATGGTTGTGCCGTGAAACCAGTGCCCGTTGCTTCTAAATTTCCATCTATGTGCAGACGGTTTCGTTTACCTTGAACACCTCTTCGCACGCCTGTTACTTCGGTTTACTTTCGATTAAAAAAAAAGCGAGCGGAGGAATTATTGAACTTACATCATTTCATGCTTTCCGTTATAATCCAACAAAAATATATTTTGTTTCTATATTAGCTATTCTATGTTACAAGCATGAAATTTTTTAATCTCTTATACCTAACGACTTATAGTCAGTTTTTCATAATTAGTGACGAACATAAATTAAACCGTTCAACGCGGGAAACGTGAAATTTATATAATCATTTTATTTTCATATTTTCCTTTTTCCCATTTCTCTTAATTTTTAGTTTGTTACACTGTTACATTTAGAAAAAACTGTAAAAAGAAATCTGTAGACAAATATGAAACCTTTGGTTCTATGATAACAATGATTAATAAAAATATAATAGAAGAAGAATTTAACAGAAATTAACAACAAATTAAAAAATGTGACGAAAACTATCTAGCTTTAATTAAGAACAATGTCTTAATTCCGAATAGCATGATTGCACAGATGATCGTTCTCCATGCCGATAACGTAGCTGTGAGGGGAATGACTCGGACTCGCGTTTCTGCATTATAAATTTGCGTGCTCGTTGGCCGCTGTAAAACGCGATTCCGTTCACGGTACATATAATGAACGGACTTTCAAACAGATGCGGATGATTTACAGATCGCTCGATCGCGTTCGGTTCATCGCGATTTCACGCCATTGTTTCGTTCCTTCTTCCCAGTTTCGTTCCTCGCTGAAATGCAACACTCGAACGATTTTACGAATCCCGTTTGTTCGCAAATCGTTCCCATCGAATTATTGATTATTGTTCAGTTGATATTTTCAGGCGATTATATCATGCGTACTGGTGGTGAATAGTATTGTGGGAAACTTTTAGAAAAGGAGAATTTTTATTTTTTTTATATGCCTACCTTGTAAATGAAATTTATGACGTTATTAATTCATGGATAAAGAGAATGCAAATATAAAAAATATATTCAATGACAATTATTCGCTTAAGTATCGTAACGTTACTGCACGAGTGTTCAGGGGTGTGTTTCGACATTCTTTGGATGATCGTTATAAGTATAAGGTCAGGTGTCTAGGGAAAGATTGATATTATTATGCGTGCGTGCGTTTGAAATACCTGGGTGTGCTCGTGGCATGGTATTATTATATTCAAATGGAGACAAGCCTAATGCGATTGAAGTACTATGTTCTTAGAATGTTATCCTTCTTTTAGGAACATTTGCGTTCGAACAATAGTTATAATGATGATAAGTTTTGCTGAATCAGGATATGAAATGTCAATTTTCAAGAGTCTACTTATAACATCATTTTAACATGATACAAAATATAACACGTTTAATTTACAAAAAGTACACAGCCATATGAAATAAAGACTGTGAAAATTACAAGAAGTAATTGATTTTTCAGTGAACAGTAACACCTCGTTGATCCAGCACGGTTGTAAGGTTCGAAGAACAGCAAGAGAGGCGTGCCAGGTCGCTTGCCGCAGGTCCGAAGAAACGGGTCTTAAGATGACCTACATAGTCCGGTCTTATCGGTGAGAGAAGCAGCTATCGTGCCGGTTCGAGAAGTAAACAGTGAGAACAACGGAGTGGTCAAGATAATAGCTGGCCGAAACAGAAATGGGACAGGCGTGGTGCAAAGAGAAGACCACGAAGGCGCAGGACTCCAAGTCTCCTTTGGATCGGGTTTTCGTACGCTGCGCACACCGGGTATGTCGACAAATATTTTTTCCTCTAAGTAATTCTATCATTAAACGGAAAAGTATTAAACTCGTTAAGATCGTCACAATATTTTGTAACAAAATGAGACCTAGTTTTAAGTTAAAAAAACGGAACTTAGATGCATTTTGCGCGATATTATTTTTAGGAACATCGTGATTTTTAATATAGAACTTTAAAAATTATTGATGAGTTTGTCAATTGACAGACATGCAAGTATGTCAAGACTAGCTTAAAATCTATGTCATAAAATTTACATCGGAGCTGTGGAATATTAAACCATATCGTCAAAACTCCAGTAGATACGAAATTATGCAGATTAATTAAATTAGGTTCTGAAAAGATGATCCCGAGTGGCAGCGACGAGGTTTATGCGTTACTTTAAGAGACCATGAAAATTTTACACGACAGTCAAACTTGCTTTAATTCCACTATTCACGAAGTGAATCGCGTCCCATCTTACGGGCGAGCAGCTATTCACTGCGTTTAATGATTTCATCGTTCGTTAATTCGACGGCATTGGCGTATCGCGGAACGAACGGGAGTTTCCTCGAAGACTGCACGCATTCATGTAAATACGTATGTACATAGCTTAATATATGACGGTACGGCACAGGGAATTTAAATAACTGATTATCGTGCGCGCATATCGAACACGGTGGCGCGCGTACACGCGTGACGTGAATTTGTCATGACTCGGAGTCACGCCGCTCTAATTTGGAATCCCCGACACGCAGATATGCGTGTAATTGCTAATTAACGAAGTGACGGCCCCTACTCGTCGCGTGATATACATGGCCCCCATGCGACGCACTGCCTGGGAAAAAGTGAAAAGGGTGAACTGTTGGAATTCGTATGGTCAACCCCCTTATTAGGAATTTTCTGCGAAATCGTAGTTTTCAAAATAAATATTTGCTTTCTGCTAAAATATTTTTCTATATAAGATAGATCGTCTTATTTAAGAGATGCTGATGGAAAATCTTGTTACGAAACATCTGATATCTCATGATTTAGAATTATGAGACAGGATAATTGTAGTGTAATATATGCAATTTCAGGGAAATTCAAAACTATATATACGGGGAACACCAAAATGTCATTAAGAAACTATTGTCCTGTCGGTTTTACATACAAACGACTAAGATAATGATTTAACGCAATCATAACGAGTGTAGTGACGAACTAATGTGCGTGATGATTCATTCCGTAACATAAATCCCAAACGATAATAATGACCGAGATATGCAACCGGAAAGTGATTAATTATCGCATTGATTGGCGACTCTATCAGTAAAGAGAGTAGTAGCAGAAGCGTGTCGCAATTCTTCCTTTTGTATGCACCTGCGATGCGTACTTTTCTTTCGATTATATCGATCCACATCGTTATTTTTCATCGATTCCAATGATGGAACAGAGCGGCGTGCTTTTTTTTCGCGTCACCTACCGCGTGAAATACAATTCGTGTACAATTTTACACAGTCCAGTGGCTGTTTCACGCGCGATTCGTTTCGATTCAATCACGTTCCGTTCGCGGTTTCTTTTATTGTGGACGCCTGTATGAGTATACAACGTTCATGGAATACATAATAACTTCGTTTTTATCACCGGTTTTGCGCGTTGGATTTTTTGTTTCCACGGCTTCCTTTCATCCGATATTAAAGTTCTCATTTTTCATGTAAAAAAATATCTCTTCGTCAGTGGGAGAAAAATATTCTTAATTTCAAAAAAAATTCTATCTCAATTTGTTAAGAGGGTACAGTGTGTTCTGTCTGTCCGAAAATATTGATAACAATGTACTTAGGATAATTGCCTCAATCTGAAAGGGAAGAAAAAACGGGGGCAAGGTGAGGACAGGACTGTTCATCGAACGAAAGAAAGCGCGACGATAAAGAGGACAATGAGCCTTTTAATCGCGGGAGCAGGGAGGAATGCAGGTTATCTCATTGTTTGAAGTCCACGTAATGCACGGTAGAAGTTAACGCCTCGTGATACTTCGTAATTACTTTCCCCTAGAAAACGTTGAACTCCCATTACGATAGCATTGTTTGCCCTGTGATATTGTTTTACCTTTGTCTCACCTCTCAGCGAACATGTACGATTACATTGTGAAAGTGCGCAGAACGAAATGTGATAAAGAAAACGGTTCTGGGACATCAGAGTCGAAGTGTCATCTTTTAAATTCGGTGGAAAATGTAGAATATGATAGGACAAGTATCTTGTTTGTTAAGGTGCATCAGTAACGGATTCTTTATGTAAAAAAAAAATAAAGAAAATTGATATAATGCAATGTAAGATATTAAAGATCTTCATGTTGCACTTTGACTCATTTTATGATAATTTATGTACGTATTATTGTATTTTTTACTGACTTGTGGATTTATGTAAAATACAAATTGTTTATACCTTGAGAAACTCGTTTGATACATATCATAATTATGACAATATTTTTTGATCGTAATAAATTTCTAACGTTTCTATTAGAGCGACACACCTGGTAGGTACGGTGTTCGTATCGAGGTTGTTGTTTCGCTGCCCTCTATGCAAGATCAATTAGACGCGGAGCTTCTAAATGAGAAAACGCGGTCCCCGTCAAGGATTTACGGTTGCGCAACGACCGACTACCAAGGAGGAAAAATCGAGGCCGGTGCATGTTTATTGGCCAATTTTTTTTCTCTGCCTCCTGCTCGCTGCACCGCTGTGTTAAAGTTTGCGCCGTTTTCATTTCGCATAGGTACGTTCTCACGCCGCGTGTTCGAGATTAATTGAAAACCGAATCTACAAAACGAATCGCAGAAGAGTTTCATGTAGCTGTATTAATCAGAGGCAGTGCTAAAAGAGTATTGAATAGAGACCAACGAGATTAACAGTTCTTATCAGAGGTATATTTCTTAAATTGCTAAATGAATTCTAATCTTTTGTAACTGCTTTATAAAAATTCTTATTTCGAATTACTGAGTAACAAATGTTCTCATCGTATGAATTTAACATGAAACAAAAGTTATTAAATGGACTTTGAAATACTGGATATCATAAAATTAAATTGCACGACCTGGTCGAAATACACAGATGTTCCTTAATCACTGCATACACTGAAAATTGCTAATAGGTTTTCCAATTATGGCGCACAGTGTACAAAGGAAAACGATAATGAAATCTGATTTCCTTGAGTATTTCGTGTCCGACCGTAATCGTTCGCCATTAGCAGGCGGCTCATGATTCTCGTTTCAACAGCAAATCGATTCAACAAACGAGCCTGCGTATTTTTAGCGCCACCGTCTATGTATCTCCGCGAGTGTCTCAGACATTATTCATTCTTATATAATTCGTACTTAGCTGCCTACGGATGTTGCGCTTGCCCGAGGAAAAGTGCAACCCGTGCTGTAAAGGTTAATTACGGCCCCGCGCCTCGCTCGGAAAATCGCTGACTTTCTTTTTCCCCAGTTTACGTCTTACCAAGGATTTTTAATAAGACGATATAATTTTTATGCAGTTCGTGCGCACAGCTATTTATTCCAAAAATAAGTAAGGTAACTTTTTGGTCTTGATGAAAGGAGGAAACAGAGTATTGAGCGTATCGTTGGGCATTAATCACACAACTGATGTGTTAAGGAAATTAAATTATATAGTTTGATGAAAACCACTACGAATGAAATATTGCATTCATCTAAAGATAATTGACGTAGATTAAGTGGTTGGATTTCAAACGTACATGTATAGATTCCTCTCTGTTGGCAGTGTGGAATTTAAGAGGAAAATATAACCGAATGGAATTCAAACTTTGATATTTAATAAAATTTCTATTCATCTTTGTTTATCAGATAAATTGCCATTTTTATATGCCGTTTAGACAATTTTCTAATCACATGCATTCCTAACTGTGAAATCTCACTATATATTAAATCTATAATAAATTCCTCGCAAATCTTTCTTGTACTATCAATTTTTATTTTTATGCACGTATGCATAAACGAAAAGAGTTTAACACCGTTGCGAAGACGCTTTATCGGCGATGTTATCACTGCCAGCGTTTAATTTTCCGTTATCTTCCAAGCCTGGGTTAAGATTACTGAAAATGTATGTGCACGCGTCAATCGCTCGAGGGTGCGCCCGTTTCCGGTAACGCTGTTATCACGACCAAGTCACTTTACAGTGCAGAAACCTCTCGCGCGTGAAGAAACGTTCAAGCTTTACACGTTGATTCGCGTTTGTCTACTAACATCTTCGACTAATGCCGAGAATTGCAAGTTTCTAAACAAATGACAGTAACATGTGAAAAATGGTAGCAGCACACCTACATATAGTGGAGAACAGTAGAAATATATGCTTCCGTGAATTTTCTAGAGAAATGAGAATTTCAGCTAATGGAGAACATTTTATAATTCAAGTTTTCAGTTTAATGAGTACTAAACGTGTTCTGGATAGTACTTGTGGAAATTTGTTAAGATTATGACGGTATTTATACAGTATTGAATTATTTATGCGGTAGAATTTTCAACTTGAACTTCAGAAAACTTAATAAGGTTGAATTTGTTAAGGAAATGGGTCAAGCCCAAATGTATGAAACCTTCGCGAGTCGTGGAAGTTTTGAGTTTAAAGTACATCGACATTTTATGAAATAATTAATTTTTTGAACGGTTTAAAACTTCCTTTGAAATAATTTTTTAAACAAGGAACGTAAGATGGCAAAAAACGAAAAATGATGAAATAAATTGTTACGTAGAGCACGAGTTTATAAAATTTTGCTGGGACTGCCAAACCCAACTGAGACGCAATCGATTATTTTATAGAAATAGAATTTGATCGATGGAGGACGTCTTGAAGGCTGGCTGTCTCTATGCAAACGATTTTATCTATTGACGCCATTCTACGTATTCTATTCGCGACCTCTTTGAAATGTAAATTGGAGTTTATGAAAGAGAGCAAACGCTGCGGTTGGGATGAGACATTTTACCATTGGAATTTTTCTTTCTGTTGCGAGTCGCCATTCAAAT